TTATATTTGGTTTAATAATATAATTTTCTTATAAAGATAATAATTAATTATTTTGTTAGAACTGATAATTATCCTAATTATGTTTTAGATTTTTTATATTTTAAAATAAAATGTTTATTCTTAATTTATTTGATTATATTTATCCGCAATTAGTTATACGAATTCAAAAATCGAGCTTTGATAAGTTGTACTTTTGCATAATTTACTTGTAATATTGAATTTTAAGTAAACATTGATTTTATGTGATTTTGAGAAAGTTGTAATATTTTTATTTTTGAATAAAATATAAATTTAAAAATATCATAAAATTTTGAAAAAAAAAATATCAATATCAGTATTAAATTAATATTTTTAAAAGTTCTTGTATTTTGGTGTAATTTCTTTAATTAAATTCTGTTAGTTATTAATGATTATCATAATTATATTTCAGATTTTTTATATTTAAAATGAGATATTTATTCAATATTTTGTTGGGTCAGCAGACTCGGTGTTCCCTCGGCAGGTCAAATCCTCGTCCTTAAACCCACCGCTCCTGTAGCAATGCAGGAGCATCCCACATTGGTGAGGCTAGGGAGTCTTCTCTTCCTTATAAGGAAGTGGGAGTCTTCTCCTACCAGTGACGCGTTTTAGAAAACAAAATCGTGAGGGGTTGTTGCCGTGCGGGGAAACCCCGGGGCAGCCCAGAGCGGACAATATCACGTGGGCGGCTCCCTAGTGCAGTTACCGGTCCAACATATTTGATTATGTTTATCTGCAGTTAGTTAGACGAATTCAAGTATGGAGTTTTAATAAGTTATATTTATACATAAATTACTTGTAATCTTAAATTTTAAGTAATATGCATCAATAAACAATACTTCGTGCATAAAAAATTGTTTTTAAGAATTTTTGTTAAATGTTTTAATATGCATCAATAAACAATAGTTCGTGCATAAAAAATTATTTTTAAGAGTTTTTGTCAAATGTTTTAATATGCATCAATAAACAATACTTCGTGCATAAAAAATTGTTTTTAAGAGTTTTTATCAAATGTTCTATAATATAGTATAGATTATGTGTTTTTAAAAAAAACAATAATGATTTTTTTTTGAATAAAATATAAATTTGAAGATATCATAAAAATTTAAAAATATATATATATCAATGTTAATGTCAAATCAACTATTTAAAAGTTTTCATTTTTTATGTAATTTCTTTAATTCAATTTTTTTATTATAATTTAATTTAAGTTTAATAATGAAATAATTTATTTTTGGTTTAATAATATAACATTTTATAAAGATAATAATTAAGTATTTTGTTAGAACTCAATGATTATCCTAATTATATTTTAGATTTTTTATATTTAAAATGAGATGTTTATCCTGTATTTGATTGTGTTTATCTGCAGTTAGTTACACGAATTCAGATATGGGATGAAATCGGATATGGATGAACGGGTTTAAGAGTTTTTAAGAGTTTAAGAGTTTTAAGAGTTTTTAAGAGTTTAAGAGTTTTAAGAGTTTTTAAGAGTTTTAGCCAAATGCTTTATAATATAGTATAGATTAGAAGGATATTCGTATAATACAGTGTTATATATTTTTATTTTAATGTTTTATTTTATTATTTATTTTTGTTAATGTAATACGGTTTTTTTTTATAGTTTTCAAAAAATGATAATGTTTTTATTTTTGAATAAAATATATATTTAAAGATATTATAAAATTTTGAAAAAAATATATATATCGATATTAGTATCAAATTTACTATTTAAAGTTCTTATTTTTTGTGTAATTCCATTAATTCAATATTTTGTTTATAATTTAGTTCAGGTTTAATAACGAAGTAATTTATTTATCATCTAATAATGTAATTTTTTATAAAGATAATAATTAAGTATTTTGTTATTAGATTTTTTTATATTCAAAATGAGATGTTTATTCTTTATTTGATTATGTTTATATATTGTTAATTACATAAATTCAAAAATAAAGTTTTAATAAGTTGTACTTACGCACAATTTACTTGTAATCTTGAATTTTAAGTGACATGCATCAATAAACAATATTTTATGCATAAAAATGGTTTTTAAGAGTTTTTGTCAAATGCTTTATAATATAATATAAATAGGTCTAGACCAAGGTCCTTTGCTAAATGTTTAGTGGATCATTTACCTTATCGGGTTAATATGTCAATTATCAAGAATTTTATCTGGTAAGAGTGATAACAAAGATCGAGAGTCTTAATCAGTAAGTGAGCGTTATGACTTTTATCCGATTAACGTTAACAGAGTAAATTGTTTCATACATTACCGTTTTGATATATTTGAATATACTCGATCATGTAACTAATAACGTTGAATTTTATTGTTAAGCATTTACCGGGTAAGCACTAGGGTAAACGGTCCCTAACTATATCTGGTAATGACTAGAAGAGTAGAAGTGCATGTGTAAATAACATGATTCAAACCCAGATTGATTTTTGGGGGAATTGATTGAAATACTCAATCTTTTCAACCAAATTCACTTTTTAGCCACTTTTGTAAGAGTTTACACAAATGTCTTACGCATTTTGCGTAACACCTACTTTCTCATTAAAAGATCCTCATGCAAATTTGGGTTAAAAAAAAAACTAATCTGAAAATCGAGTTTATGGAAATGTGAAATGCATTTGCGTAAACTCTCGTTAAAACAGGAATTCGATTTCAGAAGCAGTTAAAAAGTGAATTTAGATAAGGAAATTGGTTATCCATAGCTGAAGCAACACCCATAGCTGAAGGGCCAAATGTAGGCATGGCAGCGGGGCGGGTTTTGTAATCCCAGGCCTAGGCCCTGGTCCCTGATGAGTACGGGGTTAACATCTCGTCCCCCATCAAATTCCGATCAAACCCTATGAATAATATCCATTAGTTTGAATCTACTGGGGATCCCCGACCTCGGATCCAACCCCAGTTTGAGTCTACCGGGGATCCCTTACCATGAGACTTGTTTTAGCGGGAATCCCCGTCCCTGTTTGAGTCGGGTGAGCCGGGTAAGCCGGGTTCCCCATCGGGTCAGGGCATATCACCATCCCTAGCCAAAGGGCATGCTCGAGGCGAAGGCCCCGAAAGGTGTTACTTAAAACAATGCACGAAGAAAGGGGTTATATTGAGCAAATCTCTTGGTTGGTTCTCAATTAGTTTTACAGAGTTTAAACATTAAATTTAATAATTTATACGTAGGTGGTAATAAGTTGTAATTAAAATTCTAATATATTTTAAAAACTTCATATAAATATTTGATTTTATTTTATATATAAGAACGTTCTTTTGAGAACATTTTAAATTGTGAGATTTCTGCATCATATGTTATTTCATATGATTTTTTTTATTTATGGTTGGAATTTAATGTAGTGATTAACATATATTTGTTTCACATGTACTCTCTTCACAACGTGAACCTTTTTGACGTGTTTTTGAAGAAAAAAATACACGTAAAAAATTTATATTATAAATCAAATACGTATGAAACAGACACATTATATGATAAAGATATATATTAATCAATAGGGTTGGGTTCACGTGAGACCAATGGATTTTTGTGAGACCCGTGAGACCAGTTTATGTTCATTGATCAACTTTATAAACTAATGATCTAATAGTCTAAAATTGCACGATGGTAATTTTGTAATTATTGAGAAGTCTTGTAGCAATTTTGTAATTATGAATGTTGAGATTGTAGATCTAATCCAAGGATTGAGAATTGATCTTACGGATCTTACGAAAAAATCTTGGTCTCATATGATCCTAAGTCTTAATCAATATATTAAGTGTTATATTTAAATAGAAAAAAAGTCGATCAACTTTGACAAAAATATCAAATAAAATAATTTATGATAATAATAATAATATAAAAATTTATAATTTATAAATTTAAAGGAAAAGAGAGAGGTAAACCAAATGAGGTGTTAATTTAGTTGCAAACAGGGTGTGGTTTCGTGGTAGATGTTTGTTGAGTTGACCAACCCGGAATTGACTCGTGGTTGTGGGCCCCGGGGTTGAGAACACGATACGTGTGGGCCCACCTACTCAATTATTACCATTTTTTTAATTTAACTTAATATATAAGTAATTTTAAATACGATGAATTTTAAGAAAATTAATTAAAATAACTTTTCAGATAATGGTTTATTTTTTATGTATTTTGTTCATAATATTTTTAAAATATTATTAAGTCCATAAGTTATATTTTATCGATTTAGGAGGGATCAAAGTGTAAAAAAAAGTTTCTGAAACAGATCTGTAATTAGTTTCAACACCTTGTCGGAGGTGCCATGACCTATATCTAATTTACAGATTTGATTGGGGACCTGGTTCAAAAACTTTTTTTTTATACGTTGACCCTTCTGTATATTGCAGAGGTGCCACTTGAAGACGTAGTAACATTTTGGTGTTTTTAGTAGAGAAATGATTAAGAAATGAAATCACAAGTCAAAATAGACGATTTTAATTAATTTCTCTGGATTTTAACATATATTATATTGATTAATATTTTATAAAACATCTTTTTTGATATATTCTTTATAAGAAAATGATTTCGTAAGATTTATAATAATAATATTTTAAAATATTTGTTTTGTAATAATTAATTAATAAGAAGGTAATACAATATTTTTTTTATAAATTACTTATATATAATGGAATTCAATTCTATTTTAGATTCTACAAATCATACACACCGAAGATTCCAAATCATTCAAAGTCCAAATTTTCCAATTCTAAATCCTTCTATAAAATTCAAATTTTTCAAAACCATTTTATCAAACCAAATACCCCCTTAATATATTTGTAAATTGTATTTTTTTTCTTTTTTTGAAATATATAATATTTATATACGACAAATACAACAAATAAACTCATACACCATCCTCACATTTAGTAAGGTTTAAACTGCTGACTTTCTAAAAGGCCAAAAACCCATTAATTAACTTGTAATTCTTATTTACATGAAAATATTACATGAAAATCAAAAAAATATGAATGGATATAAAATAAGCAAAAAAAACAAGGGGAAAAATTAATTATTACAACAAATAATAACTTAAATAAACTTCAATAGAAATTGATGCATTTTGCTCAAATTTTATTTGAAGTCATGAAATACATATAATATATTTAATTTTAATTAAAAAAAACTTTTTCTCAATATGATCTTTTTTTTTACTATCTAGTCCAGAAACAATCTAAAAATTAAACCGAACGAATCTAATATATCTTACTAGAAAACAAAACATAATACAGGCGTATTTTCTATCCTAGAGATAAAACAGTTGTTTCCACGAGTGACAGATCTAGGACCGACAATATTTGGTTTGGCTTATTTTATAGAAAACCAATCCTCAATTCTAGACTTTTCTAAAAGCCAAACTAAATCCGTCTTTTCTCGACACCTCTCTACATATATATTTTTCAGATATTTAAAAAAAATGTCGGTACTCAGTTCATGGTTTGGTTTTCAACCAAAAATCAGTTCACGCAAGTCCGATTTTGTTATTAAGAGTACGTTTGGTATGCAGATAGAACCAAATAGGATTGGACAAAACTAGACAGGCGAGAGATAGGAGGGTAAAAGAACTATGAAAAATTTTAGGGTTTTAATTTGACATGAATAGTATGATAATTACTAATTTTATCCCATCTCCCTCTTTTTGTTCCACGTATTTTCGTATGACAGAAAAATGCATTTTTCTCCCACTCACTTCTGTCTTGTTCTAATCTAATCATCACACCAAACATGTGACTATGGTTATAAAAATCGTTTAAGGTGTACACCTAAAAGCGAGATGGGCCAAAACCGCACATGAGGTGACGCCTCTTGGACCCTGTACAAGGCTTACGCCTTGGTTCGGTGACCACGATTTCACTCATTCCTTTATCAAAAACCACCAAACCAACACCTTCAGTAATTTAGTGTCGTACATAAACGTACAGATTTAATCATTTGAGAACTCCAAAATTTGAAAGATTATGTTTCACATGATTTTTTTTTCCATCTAAGTACAGTATTTAATGTATTGATTTAACATATATTTATTTCACAACGTGTTTCTTTCATATGTATTCAGTTAACAATGTGAAACTTATTTACGTGTATTTTTTGTATAACAAACACGCCAAAAAGGTTCACATGTACATATGAAGCAATCACAATATGAAACATATATATGTTAATCACTACATTATTTTCTAGCTATAGAATATAGATGAAAAAGATAATATGAAATAGCAGATAATATACTAGTTCTCAAGGTTATCACAATTACATGGGTTCAGCCCCCTATAAATGTGTATATATACATATTTTGGTATATATATATATTCGCCTCGAGGCTTATGCCTTACCTCATTGAGCGAAAACGCCTCGAGGCCTGATTCCGTCTTTTAGAACCTTGCATGTGACATCAAGTTTTTATTTTGTTCTGCATACCAAACCCAACATATACAAACCTTTGGAACCTTTTGGAACTAATGAACAAACCAAAAAACAATCAAAAGCTTTTTAAAACTAACAAGTCATTACACAAAGTATGTAAATCAGGAGGAGTACCAAATATGCAGATTATTGATGCAACTTAGCAACTGATTTTCTCAGCTTCAAAAATTTCCAAAAAAAGAACATGTCGGTATTATAGGATTTCGCGGTCTTAAATCGCGTAACGGAAAAAAGGCCTTGCGGTTTTCTCTTCGGGAAACAAACGTTATGAACCAAAACGGTTGCAAAGTCAGACATAGTAACCGGTGAACGTGAACCCCCTTCCAACGATCTCACCGGCACAAAACCACGCAAAGCATTCAAGCCCAAACAAAGCTGCAATCCCAGCCTGCTCAACGTGCATATCTTGCTTATTCTTCCATAAATTCTTCACGTGATCGAGTTCCTTCCAAAATGCCTCGTTACGTCTAGGAAGACTGAAACAACCATGGCAAAGGGTCACTTGGCCTAGCGGCATCCGAGTTACCAATAGATCCCAGTCTCCTTGGAGATCAAGGTTTCAAACCTCACCAAATGTGAGGAGTGTGTGAATTTTACCCCTTTTATACACAGAGTGAGGGAGGTTCACGGGAAAACCCCCAAAAATGAAATTTTGAGGAATACTCTGGTAAACCATTCATCTGGACGATATGCATATGTGCATATAAGTAATTGAAGTTGTTTCTTGGTTTTTATACACATGTGCATACCGGACAATTTGCTTACAAATTACTTGTATGCACATGTGCATGTTGTCCAGATGAACGGTTACCAGGATGTTCCTCAGTTTTTCATTTTTTTTGCAATTTTCCTCTAAACCTGACCCTATATACATATATTATAAGCTTAACAAAAACTGCACAGCCACAGCTGAATTAGACAAGTGATAATGTTGGTACGTGGTCTAGTACTTTCAAACATTTGGCACCAAACGATCAAACTGAATGAACCCAGTAAATTCCAGTCAAAATAGCTCCCCCTCCCCCGGCGGGTGAGGGGGAGAGGCAAACATGACCTCTACCTCAAAGAGTAGAGCGGTTGTTTCTATGAAGACCCAGGGCTTGTGCAAGAGTTTGAGGAAAAATGGACCATAATACACTACCGTGTCCCAACATACATTCATATCCTACCACCTCTAGTAAGGTCTGGATACATCTTACCCTCCGCACCCGATCTCTGTGTGGGGTTTACCGTGTCTGTTTGGTTTGGTTTGGTTTTTAGCAGGGTCTAAGAAGGATATGATGTGTGTGGGGTTTACCGTGTCTGTTTGGTTTGGTTTGGTTTTTAGCAGGGTCTAAGAAGGATATGATGTGTGTGGGGTTTACCGTGTCTGTTTGGTTTGGTTTGGTTTTTAGCAGGGTCTAAGAAGGATATGATGTACGTAAACCTCTCTACCCAGAGGGTCGGGAGGCTGTTTCTGTGGTGACGCCCGGCTTTCTAAAAAGTTTTGAAAAGTTCTTTTTCTTGAAAGTTGCTAGAATTTTGTAAACACGCTTTAGAAAAATCGCTATAAATAGGGTATGTACATGCAGGCTACAAGGGCAATGAATAATAAACGATAACAGCAGAAAGGATAGATGCAAGAAGAACACTAATGTGAGAACTAAAGAGAACTAAAACATGATTACCATTATGTTGGGGGCTAATTATTTGAAAACCCACAAAACTGTGAGAACTCTGATAACTAGTGCATCATGTGCAGCTGTGCTATTTCATATGATGCTTTTCCATCTAAGGCTATGATTTAGAGTATTAATTAACATATATTTGTTTCACGATGTGAAAGTTTTTGGCATGTTTGTGAAACAAAAGATGCACGTAAAAGAGTTTCACATTGTGAACCGAATACTTATGAAACAAACACATTGTCAAACAAATATATGTTAATCAATACATTAAATACTAGCCTTAGAGAAAAAATTCATGTGAAATAATACCTTAAGGTAAAAGTTCTTGCGGTTCTCACAATATATGGGGTTCTCATTTGATTACTCCCCACATTATGTTTTGCTGTTTAAGTTGGCTTTAGTTGCTTTTACAGCCAATGGTGAGGATTATATTTTGCCGTTTAACTTATCATAATGTTTTGCGAATTTATATGATATTCTTGTATCTATATGCAAATAAATGTAATGATTTATGGTATCAGCCAAGAGATGGCTAAGTGGCTGGTCACATGTTCATTTGACATAAAGAGGCACAAATGCAACTCTTAGGCCAGAATTTGAAGGAAATCTAGAGAAACAAAAACATACTCTTGACAGAACATAGCTTAATTCCATCATTAGAATGTCATCCATATTCACACAAACCAAACGAGCCCAGAATATCCCACCAGAAGGTGGGGTTGGGAGAGGATGGGATATTGGGATGTATACAAACCTGACCTCTACCCAAAGGAGTAAGGCAGTTGTTTCACTGAAGACCCTGGCTTGTGAAAAAGTGACATGCAATTCTCATCATTCCTCCACTTAAAGTACCCCACTCTGGTTACTTATCCCACACTCCCACTAGAAAGAAGAATAGTGAACCAAAAACCTCATCTTCAGGGTGTGAAAAATAAGCACCATATGTTTCATAGAATTATATAATAACTTTAAAGGAAAACGATTGTGAGCACTCACATATACTTTCACATGTGTTGTGCCATTGGAATATAATGATAAGTACAAAACTATTAGGGTGGATAACAGATGTCAACATGGTATTTTGAGATCGGCTCCTTGGGGTAGAGGACATGCATGCCTACATCCCTGCTTAGACAACACCCAGGGTAGGATATAATGGGCTCATTTGGCTTTGATTTTGTTAGTCTCATATCGGCTATACTTTGAGCGTTTCTACTCCATATATGTTAAAACCTCCCCTCTCTCCTCGAGGGCTCTTTTAGAGAGTAATCTAATGGGATTCCACATATTATTACATAGTAACAGAGCTAAGGTCTAAAACTCCAAGCATGGTTGCTAAAAATGATCGAGGCGGTCAAAAAACGTTCTTCAGGCAGCGCCTCTGCTAGGTTGGTTGGGTCGTACACCTCAAACTACTGAGATGGGTCTGAGGCAGTGGGGGAGGCTGAGGCGGTACTAAGACTTTAGGGTTAAAAATTATGCCAAATCAAAGAAAATATACTTATGGATTGATGACACATTAAAGTGAAACCTCTGCTCTTTGCTTTTCCTTGTGCATGGACGTTGAAGAAGAAAAGTTACTGCTATGTGTGATTTTTCCTTTTTATACAGTAAGACTGCATACTAGCGATGCGACTTGGGAGGTGCATAAGGGATTCTACGATTTCACATAGCAGGAGTGACTTTTCTTCTTCTCTTGACATCTGTGTCACTTTTATTGTTTCTCTTTATGTGGGAGGCTTTTAATGTTTCTCTAATTTGTTTTTATTAAATTCTTTAACAATTATTTACCTAAATTAAAGTATTTAAAGACTTTATTAGCAACATTATGATTCTAAATATTATTATCGGCTAAGTATTACATATATAATATTATTTTATCTATTTTTATTTTCTGCCTCGAGACTTACACCTCGCCTCACGTTTTATACTTTAAAACCTTGACTCTAGGGACTCGACACACTGCTCTAACCTCTCCTCAAGGGCTCTTTAAAGATTAATCTAATGGGGTTCCACATATTTTCACAGGTTTTTCATGGGATATTCAAGATAGAACTTCTTGGAAACCTAGTGACAGGATAATAAGACATCACAACTATCATAAAACCAACCAGAAAGTAAACACTAATGCATACTAACAAAAGCCACGTGAATTCCAAGTGAAAGAACGGTCGTTATATCACGAAAAAAGATCAAATAGTTAACCTTGCAAGACGAGTGTAGAACAACTGTTTGGATAACTCATTGCATTTCTCAACAGTAGCCGGCTCCTGAATATATTGTTTGTTCTGCTCCATCACTTGCTTGTAATAAGTGGTTCCATGTTTTGACAGGAAAGATGAAGCTTGGGACGCCTTTGATTGCAATAGCTTCAGTTTCGATGCCATTCTATCTATAATCAACTCTTATCAGTAATTTGAGGATCTAAATATGAATAACGATCATACTAATATAAATTTTCAGCTCAAAATGATCATACATCTGATCAATAAATGCTAAACCACTAGTTGAGATACTAAAATCAAAGACGACATTTTAAGATTAAGGGGATGTTTGGTTGATTTTCCATTAAGTCCTGAATGGATAAAGTTGTCTATGCCGATTAATCTATCTGTATAGATGAGGATGCTTTTTGTTTGGGAGGGTTTTTTCATATACGAAAGAAGCGTGTTTTCTAATTTGGACGGACATGTTCGGGAAAAAACTTAGCTTCTTGCATAAAGCTCCCCCTAGAAACTTACCGAATAAACCTCGTTCTATATCATTAAGCCACTACCAAACAAGCTGACCGAATAAGCTGTGAGTCCTGTTAAGCTCATTCAGCTGCTTGCTAACAAACAGGCCCTAAAGTTGGCTATGTTTTCAATTGTGAAATCAACGAAACTCAGACAAGCATAACAGCACATTATACATATGCAGCTAAATCAATTAGAGACTATGTTCATACCGTTCAATTTAGCCCCAAAATACAATCGAAAATTGACCAGAATCAAAACCCTAAAACGAAAACAAGAAGCCGCCAACAAAATCGGTTGGCAAAAACAAGAGACTGACGAAGTTCATACATCAAAGAATCGTAATAGTATGTAAATAGAAAATTAACATTTCTTAGAAATACAAAGATCTAGGGATTCGAATCGAAAAACCCCACACACACACAAAAATGCAAATCGAAAAGGGGATAAAGATAAGAGTGCTGATATGTCAGATAAGGAACAAAGCAAAGAAGAAGAAGATTACCTAAATTCTGAAGTGATGAGAAGAAAGCCGATCCGGTGACTTTGCTTCTCTCGCCGATCGGAACCTTTTGCTTTCCCAACAGAGAGAACCTTTGGACTTCCGTGAGTTGCGACTTGGGTGCGTGTGTGTTGCTCGAAGTGATTTTATGCTCGTTTCACCATCAAATGGTTTGTGAAGTTTCTATATGATTTTGAAAATAAAAAAAAATGTTAGATTTAGGGGTGTTTGAGATTGTTGATAAAAACAACTTATTGATTTATTTTGATTGACTAGAAGCGTACTCGCGCAATGCAGCGAGATGCATCGTGTTTTTAATATTTCATTTTATTCTTTATCTCRRTYRRTRTTATARTATGACTTTATGTGATTTTGAGAAAGCGATGATGTTTTTATTTTTGAATAAAATATATGTTTGACGATATCATAAAAATTTGACAAAAATATATCGATATT